GATACTCCTATTATAATTGTATTTAGTAATTCATCTATTGGAATTGGGAATACAACATCAATAGAAGCAATGTTCATCTAAAGATAAGATTGTTTCTCTACTGTCAATTTCAAGATTGTCATATAGGGATCAGAATTTTCACCAAACGAGTTCAAAATACGAAAAAGTAAACACATAAAGAAGTTAAAAGGGATTCAAATATTCTATCGAAGAGGGTACGATAAACCCTTTTACTCTACTTAGCTCTGACCCCGGGGCGTATGCACGTTGCTATACGGGTGTCACTGCTAAAAAAAGAAAAATACATATATTTGTAGATAATACTAGATGAGGCTGCTCGTGCTGGGCACGCGCCCAACATAAGAATCGACTTAAGGGTTGATGATGTTTCCAACTTGTTAACTTTTTCCGTGGCTTGTAACATCCATTAATTTTCTACAAATAGATAGTTGCAGTTCGTTAATAGGACAATATATATTTATTGTACAACACAAAAACACTTGCATCACAAAGGTAAACTTGGAAATAGGGATGGTAAATTACTTGTTTCCTGAATATTTCTCAACAAGGTCAGGGCTTCCTCGTCATCAGACATTACTGTCAATTGATCAAAATAGGCCGTCATCATCTTCATCACTCTCTAATCTATCTTGATAGCCGGGGAGAAGATCGCTTCTCTTCAATGTAGCAACCATGTGTTACATGCCAAAAATCACCCGGAAGGGATGCCTCACGAGCAGACCATAAGACCAGTTTTTGCGGATTCATTTTTCTAGAGTAGAAATTGAAGACACTGAGGGTACCTAGCTCGCCGTCATGACATCACCTTCATCTTCCTTGTCCGCCCATCAATCGCTAGAAAATATTAATACATCATATACCAACAAATGATTATCAAAAGGTATTGCATTCAGAAGGTTTATGTCCTAATAATGTGCAAATAGGCACAACCAGAACAACTTGTCGAGAAAACATGTTGAAAATATTCATTCAACTATTTAGCATGCCTTTGATTGGTTCAAAAGAAATTTCGATCAAGCACAATTACCTAGAGATTTCTATCTAAAATAGGTTGTGACTATTGTTATATTATAGGTGTTTTGATGATTCTCACAAATGAAGGGACCTGGTCCCTGTCTGAGTTCTTTCGTCCAGATCTATGATAGGGTAAAGCTGTAAAGTTGTCGTGTCAGAGATTGGTGAGGCGTCAGCGCACTACACCAATCAAAATGAACGAAGGTGTTTGTTCAACGGATAATAACTCTTTATATTTGATATTTTCAACATGACAAACACCATATTAAATTCATTCATTCAAAGAAGAAAGTCATCCAACAAGCCTTTCAAAAATTCATAAAGAAGCTTGCAAGGACCTGGTCCCTGCAAGATTGTGTATGTGAAAGGACGACAAGGCTGTTGTCATAAAAGTTGTCACTTCTGATATGGTAGGTGCACGCCCTTCCAGAAAGACAGGCTCTCAGTCAATGGGTGGTCCCAAGGAGTTTGTGTGTGTTTCATATAGTCTTCTCACCAAAACACAAACTCAAGATTTGGAAAACTAAATTTGGATTTTCTTTTCTCTGAAAATTCATAAGCTTACAAAGAAAAAGCCTTCTTCAAGGAAAAACTCTACTCAACTCAACAAAGGGACTTGATAGAGTGAAGGAGAGTTCATTGGTCATATGAATAATGCTTACTGTTTATGGTCATATGAATGAATGATTGTACACTCATGTGAGGAGTTATGCAAGTTGTATGTCATCATCAAAAAGGTAAAAATTGATAGGTGTTTATGCTCTTAGATGTTTTGATGATCTTCTCACAAGTGCAGGAACCTGGTCCTCTGCAGAGTATGAAACTCGTCCAGGCTTCAAACTGCTGGACAACTGTAAAAGTTGTCTGCGTCAGGAAAGTTGGTGAAGCAGCAGAGTACTTCACCAATCAGGGACGATTAGGTTGTTTGTTTGATGGGTAATAACTTTTCTTGGTACATATCAAACAAATAACAACAAAATTCATTCATTCATTCAAAGAGAAAAATTTCAAACTTCAAGAACAACAAGGGAACTGATCGAAGTGCATTTATTGCTTTATGTATTTGTTGTATTCTGTTAGCTTGTAATCGTCCTTAAATTGTAGGATTTTTTAAAACCGTGAAAGAAATGTTTCAAATCTGGGTGAATCATTGTAAGGGCTAGGTTGAGGGTAAGTTAGGTTCTTACTCTAAGTCGATCTTAATAGGGTAAGGATTAGTATAGAGAGCAGTGTTGTATCTGCTCAGGCTCAGCTAAGTGATAGGAAGTATTACTTAGTGGAGAGATTAGCAGGCTAATCTATTGTTATAACCGACTTTTACTTTTGCTTGTTGAAGATTAATGAAAGTGGTTCGAAAAGTCCTGTTGAGAACAGGTCGTGATTTTTCTTCCTTGAGCAAAGGAGGTTTCCACATAAAGTTATTTGTTCAATCTTTACTTCCATCATTTATTTTACTGTTGTTATTGTAAATGTGTTGAGAACCTGGTCCCATCGAAATAAGTGAACACATACGTTCCAACAACTATTAATTCCAGTTGTGCAACCAACTTTAAGAGCTAAATGCTCTGTTATGTCGAGAACTTTATAACTAAATATATATGCATGAAAAAGTTGAAGGAGTGATTATGCTTGCTATATTACACACTAATTTGATTTGGCTATATATTCGTGGAAAGGTTACGTTGAAGGAGTGACCAATTATTGGCGATATTCAATTATGTGTTAAAGAAACATGTTATTTATAAAGAGGAAAAAATAAACCTAAAGATGGAACAAAAATGAAGAACCGGTTGTCTATTTTTGCATTTGAATCCTCAATTAGCATTTCTGTTGAAGTTAACCAAAACAAAGAAAGCACTTTAAGTTTATGAAGTTTCTTCATTAGCTATAAATCAAACACAAATTGACATATTAAACAAAAAATAATAATAAAATTCACTATGGCTACTGAGGATACATATAATTGATCAAAATAAAAGCAAAAAACAGCAAGATTTAGGCAAAAAACTTTAAGAGATTGAATATATAAATTTAAGAGATTACAACTTAAGAAAGCTTGGAAATTGTGGGTGAAGACTAAAAAAAGAGGATTACAAACCTCTAATTTCCCCTAAAATCTATTTTAGGCATAGAAAAGGCAGGTGATTGCTGGATTTTCTCTGAGAAGAGACGTTGCAGATGTAAGAAAAGTCAAAATTGCCCCTGAGTAAGAATTTAAAGACATTAAGCTGCCATGTTGATATCACCTCTTCACTGACACTTCTATAATACTAGATACAAATACTTGTGCGAGCTCAATATTTATGTGATATAAATAAAATTTAAAAAGAATTAAATTTTAACATAATTTTTAAATATTTTAAATTGTTAACTATTGTAATTTATAGTGTTTTTTATGTGATTTTGAAATAATATGTTACTTCCCTTGTTCCAATATATAGTATTTTTTATGTAATTTGAAATAATATATGTTATTTTTTATGTAGTTTTCAAATTAAAAAATACATGTTATTTTTTTTGTCCTATATTATGTGATACACGTGAATTGATTTTATGAATCAATTAGACATTTTCATAAGCAAGAGTATCTTTTATTTGTTTTTCTAAAAATATTTTAAGTTGTCAATTATCATAATTTATAGTATTTTTTGCGCAATTTTTAAATATATTAAAAAAATTACGACAGACAAATTAAAGTAGAGGAATAAAGTACACAAATATATATTATTAAACGTTTTTTATAAAAAAATTAAAATGTGAAATTAGAGAAAAAAAGTTGATGCGTCTAAGAGTGTAACTGGTATTGTGAATGTTAATATTTTCATATTTGATTGGTGTAAATCTTTGAAAAATGTTTTCTTTAGGACAATAGATTTTTTGTTCATTCCCATTTAACATTAACACACCTCAACTTTACCTCATCCCTTTGAACTCTCCATCCCCATCCCCATCACCACTACATTATCCTCCATCTAATTCATCTCTCATAGTATTTGTTTAAATTATAAACAAAAGTTCTTAGAATAATTATTTTTACTTGTGCAATATCAAATATAAAAAAATAAGTAAAAAAACATACTTGTTATTCTAGAAATTATTTTCTAAAAAAGTGATTTTCGTTGTACCGAATACACCTAAATACTTACTGATTATATACACATAGTATTGCATACTTAAAGTTGAATAAATTCTTGATTCATGAATGATGGATAATTATTAAATGATAAATCATTTATATCAATAAAAACATTATGTCATTAAATACTAAAAATGATACTTATATGTATAAAGTATACTATATATGTATTGATAAAAAATGATTTATTTTTTTAAAAACGATATTAATTCATTAATTATATTACTATAATAAATTTATACAATTCAAATACACTTGGATATGAATAAGTAATTGTCCTTCACGAGATTTAAATGATAAATATGTGAAGTTAATTAGAGCAAGGTAGAGTAATTTAAACATTTTAATCTGAATCTTTATACATTATTATAGAAATAGATAATTATATTTCACCAAATTCAAATGAAAATAAAAAAATATACGAAGAAAATTACAAAATAAGTGTTATCTGTCAGTTGGAAAGCTCTGTGCATGGGTCTTACCATACTCCATGACTTTTCACTTTTAGGGTATGATTCATAATTTAAATGGAAATGATGACATTTTTTTTGAGTTAATAATGAGGTCTAAATAACTGAGCATAGAGGACAACCACCTTAAGCAAGCAAATCTTGCAATAACGTGTCAAAGACTATGATATCCTCAAAATTTTTATTAATGACTAAAAACTAACATGTTGAAACCCTCCTTTCTAATATATACTAGGGAGTAATTGCACGGGCCCAAAATGGTGTAAGCTAATATTGTTTTATCTAATTTGATTTATTATGATACAAAATTGCTGAAAACACTTGGATACATGTAAACATTAGATCAAATGATCATCATATGCTAACTGCAGAATATTATTGACATGAAATTATAGAAACATGCTCACATAAATATTTTTACTTAAAACATAATAGATTTTTTCACACCCAATCAACACAAGGGTACATCAATTTGATGAGGAACAATTTAAACATCTTCCAAAAGAAGTCATTGCAAGAAAAAATATTGTCACACCGATGAGCACTGTTCTGTTTAGCATGAAACATGTACCCAACACTTTGTTGCCCTTCTTCATGCAATTTTGTCTTTTAACATTTGTAAAAAAAAATCATGAATAGCCATTGAAAAGTAAGAAAGTAGAATAATAGAAGTAAAGTAGAATATACGAACAAAACAACAAATCTATTTGGTCTAAATACTCATGTAATGAAAATATTAGTGTCAAGTGACAAATCATAATGACACTCTTTTCCAGCATAGTAAAAGAGGATAAAGTAGTTCAATGACATGTTGCAGTTTTCATGAGCATTTCTAAGTTTTTCCTATGCTTTCAGAAAATTAGTTGACAGATCATTTCTCTAAGCACCAATCCTGCTTTACTATTTACATGAGATTTCACTTATTCTATTATCTCTAAGCGTCAGTTATCCCTCACTATTTACATGAGATTTCACTTATTTATGTCATTTTAAGCTTTAGATAGTTAGTCTTCCTGCAATATTTTCTTGGTTTGTAGTTTTGTTAACGCTTACTACTCTAGTATGCTTCTTACTCTATTTTCTATCTAATATATAAGATCTTTCTTGTCTTTTTTTCCTCATCCAACGACGGATTAGCTTTGTCTTTCAGTAAGTCGTCTTCCTCAATAAGAGCAGTACTGTGCTTAAGGAGAAATTTCACTTAAAATAGTAAAATTAAATAAACATAGTATTTCAAAATGCATAAACAGTGTTGAATCGTGCTAAAAAGTCTAAAATAGAATCGAAATGTCATATACTCAAACTTTTCTAGTGCACTTTTCTAGCTTAGTTCAGGCAAAAGTAAATACATAACGCACTACAGTTTGGTGCTATAGCAGTAAGATTGAAGAAAGGAATCACGCCACGATAAATTTGAAATAGTAAATATTTTGCATTCAAGTACATCAACTTACATAGAAAAATATAAAAAAATGAAAACTTGAATGTTTGAAAATGTGAGTTGCCAGTGTTATGTTAAGTAATCCAAAAAGACAATAATTTGTCACCTACTCTGGAATGGGGATCATTTACTACAATTCTTGAACCCAAGATCAGATTCAGCGATGAGACTTGGTCATCTTAAATATCGGACATAAAAGTTTTTGAGCTTTATATGTGTATCTTCTTGGCAATCAAAGTTTAAAAAAATTTACTTTAATATCGAGTAGTAGAACTCCAAGCAATATCATTCGAAAGTTTGGAACTAAAGTAACTAAGATTATAAATGCATTTTTAATGATGTGCATATCAAGGTGCTTGCATTAAAGTTTCAACATACGGAAGTTTAAAGCTTTATTAATATTTAAAAAGAAGAAGTTCAGGACTTTGAAGTAACAAGGTTACAGAAGCAGTACAAAATGGCAAATAAAGCCAAAATAAACTATGATGTATTAAAGAATCAATACCAACCACCAAGTTTTATTACATGAACTTTTTTCTTTTGGAACTGCTCCTAGGTTCCGTCAAATATTCTAATTAAAGAAGATAGGCAAAGGAAATCATTTCATCCAAAGTTCAACTCACCTTATTTTGTGGTAGAGATTTTATGATTGCCATTGGAGATGCACCTACTTGTGCGATAAATTATCTCTTGTGAGGCAGGGTATGAATGTGTGCAAACGATATAATAATCACAATATAAAAAAGTTATATCTAATTTATCTTCTAAATCTTTCTTCAGTGGAGCATTCTTGAACTCCCAAGGAAAAAACAACAAAATTCTAATCATAGAGAATTCATCCACCAACATATTCAAAGAGTCTGGGCTGTATGATTAAAAACTAAAAGAGATCCTTTTCATCAAGGAAAAACTATTTATTTAATAGTAAAAGATCCCATGTTTGTTAGCTAGCCAAATCTCAGTTGTTCGTCGAAAAAATTGAAGAGTATGCACATGCTCCTTTGTTATGATCCCACTTAAATACTTTTCCGACTTCAAGTCGAGAGCAAAGTTCAAACTCTCGTGACATGCACATACATCACTATAATTTTACGATTGATTCCCCAACCCGTAAATGAATATTACTCAAACATTAGCAATAATTTGAATTTCAGATCTTAGTCTAGTAGTATTTGTAAATCAGACTATTGTTTAGTGCCTATGTGTAAGTTCCATTATCAAAGACACTTTGATTCTTTCATAGCAATACACCACCAAAAACTTCTGCACATTCACCCAACACTAAAAAATAAAATGAAGGCATGAAAGAATTTGCAAAATTTTAGAAAAAAACATACCTATCAATTCGTAAAAAAAATCGAACAATACAAGAATAACTGATATTTCTCTAAACGATGAGCCCTGTTCACACAACACAAATTTGAGAAATTATAAGTAAAAAAAATTATGAATGAGTATAACTTAAAAATATGAAAAAGTAAAGAGTAGCGTGATTTTTTTGAGCAACTCGTAACCAGTCATTTCAAACATATAATAATGATAATTTGTGTAATTATCAGATCCATCTTCAAACCGTAAAATCAACCATAAAGAAATGAACTTGAACAAAAAGATAATCAAATCTTCAATCTAAAATTGAAGAGAGGTTTTGTGTCCATACAATTCAAGAAATTGCAAATCTCTCCAATCACTATATACTGAGATTATTTCACAAGTGAATACACAAATAATATTTAGATTCTGATTAATAAATAGCAAAACACAATCGACAACAACAACATAAACAGAGAAAGAGGTAAAGGGCGATTGTAACTTACCAACATTATACATTTATAATACCATCCTAACAGCTTAGATTAATCCATCCAATTAACAAAGAAGTATACTTGCGAGAGTCCAAAACAAAGTCGACAAATTGACAAAACAACAACACAACCAAAGAAGAGGTAAAGGACTCTCATGGATATGTTTGTCTTTTCTTTTAGAAAGCTTTCCACCGGAGAAATAAAGGAGAGGAGATGCATATGAGTTATTCAAGCATTAGGGTCATGAAACAGCAGAAAGCTTTAGAGCTGTAAAAAAATTGTGTGCTACGTGTCATTTGCTTGGGTGCAGTAATAAACTCCTAGTAGCTTAATACATATCAACTTCATTGATTTAAATGACTCAAATGCCCTTATTTTTTAATTTATTGACACTAAACAGACATGTAGAAATAGAGCTCTATAGTTCAACTTCAACATATGATATTATTGTGTAACCATGTGAATTTACGAAAGCTTAGACAAAAAGGCAATAGAAATATTCGATTTCAACACTGAAATAGAAATATGAGTGTCAAACAACAAATAGTAACCACACTCTTTTCCTACATAACAATAAGGGTAATAAAGCAGTTTAATAACATATCATGGTTTCCATGGCATTTCAAGTTTTTCCTGTGTTATCACAAAATCAGTTGACAAACATTTTCGCTAAGCAGTGGCCTTGTGTCAGTATTTATATGAGATATCATTTATTTGATGATCTCTAAGCGCTAGTCCTCCCATGCTATTTACACGAAATTTTATTTATGAATTTCAAAAACTTTGGAAGTAATCACCCCTCTCCCCAAATCACATGGAGATAGAGAGAACAGAACTCCAGCGTGGAATCAAATCAATCAATAGCCAAATTTAACTAAAAAGAGACCTTACATTCAACTTTCTCTAAATTCCACAAAGCAAATTAACAACATTCAACCCAAACGGTAACTTACATTATAACAGAAATTTTGCCTAAACAAAGAAGAATAAATCGTAGATTTAGAAGGATAACAAGTCCTCCACGTCAAAACTCACAAGTAACAATATTCCAACTAACACTATCAAATATAGAAGAGAAAAGATTTAATCGAAAAGAGTAAAACCCTACTACTTTACCTGCCTTAAATTTGAGAGAGACTACTGTTAATTAAAAAACTTGACTTTTCAAAGGAGGTGCTAGCTACTACTCAAATCGCTTTACCAGATGTGAGAGAGCACAATGTGTTCAACCGCATCCTCTAAATCAACTACGAAAACGTCGATGCAATAAGGGGAAGAAACTCCTAGCCAAACACACAAGAACCCAGGAAATTGATTCCGATGAAAACACCATACATGAACGGAGGAAGTTCAAAAGAATTCTGATAAAGAATATAAATCAAACTATTGTTTGGTGCCTATGTGTAAGTTCCATTATCAAAGACACTTTGATTCTTTCATAGCAATACACCACCAAAAACTTCTGCACATTCACCCGACACTAAAAAATAAAATGAAGGCATAAAAGAATTTACACAATTTTAGAAAAAAAACATACCTATCAATTTGCAAAAAAAAACCCGGATAATACAAGAACAACTGATATTTCTCTAAATGATGAGCCCTGTTCACACAACAAAGATTTGAGAAATTATAAGTAAAAAAATTATGAATGAGTAAAGCTTAAAAATATGAAAAAGTAAATAGTAGCGTGATTTTTTTGAGCAACTCGTAACCAGTCATTTCAGCATATAATAATGATAATTTGTGTAATTATCAGATCCACCTTCAGATCGTAAAATCAACCATAAAAAATTGAACTTGAACAAAAAGATAATCAAATCTTCAATCTAAAATTGAAGAGAGGTTTTGTGTCCATACAATTCAAGAAATTGCAAAGCTCTCCAATCACTCTACACTGAGATTACTGCACAAGTGAAATACACAAATAATATTTAGATTTTGATTAATAAATAGCAAAACACAATCGACAACAACAACATAAACAGAGAAAGAGGTAAAGGACGATTGTAACTTACAAACATTGTACATTTATAATACTATCCTAACAGCCTAGATTAATCCAAAGGATTAACAAAGAAGTATACTTGCGAGAATCCAAAACAAAGTCGACAAATTGATAAGACAATAACATAACCAAAGTAGAGGTAAAGGTCTCTCATGGATATGTTTGTCTTTTCTTTTAGAAAGCTTTCCACCGGAGAAAAAAAGGAGAGGAGATGCATATGAGTTATTCAAGCATTAGGGTCATGGAAGAGCAGAAAGCTTTAGAGCTGCAAAAAAGTTGTGTGCTACGTGTCATTTGCTTGGGTACAATAATAGACACCTAGTAGCTTAATACATATCAATTTCATTGATTTAAATGACTCAAATGCCCTTATTTTTTTAATTTATTGACACTAAATAGACATGTGAAATAGAGCTTTTCTACTATAGTAGAATAAGTAGGGGGAAAAAAGTGATGCAAAATTGGTATAGTAAATAATTTTAGATGAAACTAATATCAATTATTTATCCGATGATAGTTATCCAAAAGGGAAAGTATCATGAAGCATTGCGATTTGTGAACAAAGTATTATTTTAGGCTACTTTTGAATATGAGATATGAAGTCATAATATAAAATTAAACGATGTTACATTGAATTTTTTGCTGAACATGTAATGAAGATTTCATAAGTTTTTTTTCTTTCATAATTATAAAAGCTCCACAAGCTATGAAAACTATCAAATTTTCTCATTTTTTACTCAATCTTACCAAATATACAAATTATACTTTCTCCGTTTCAAAAAGAATGACTTCCATACCTCTTTAGTCTGTTTAAAAAAGAATGATCTCTTTCTTTTTTTTTGGTAACAACTTTTCACATGACATATTTAAGGCCACAAGATTAAAGGGTAATTTTGTACATTTGACATAACTTTAATTTTTATTTTCTTAAACTCTGTGTCAAGTCAAACTAAGTCATTCTACGTGAAACGGAGGGAGTAGTTCATTACCAAAGATATATTGAGAAATCCTAAGGCTTGGATTGTCACATATTTTCATGTTCTTTGTAAAAAAATATTTGTGATTACAAACTTTAAATATGCATGATTTTATAAAGACTAATTAAGCCCTAGCTAGTCAAGAACAGTAGATTAGCAGTAACTAGTTATTCTTTATTATAGTTCTTTTTACATGGTACATACACACGTTTTCTTTACATTGAGTATTAGTCTTTTTTTTATGCAAAATTTAAAATGATGTGTCTTTTTTATAATATTTACGTAGGTTTAATTTTACATTTAATAAAGTTGAAGTCATAATTTGAAATCCCAAATCATGTTTTTATGTGTGGATAATCAATGAATCTCACAAATAAGGTATGATGGGATAAAGTGTAAGCTGACCTTATCACTACCTCGTAAAGATAGGATAATTGTTTGTTAAAATTTTCAACTAAAGTGCAACAATTTCACGTATAAAAAATAAGAAAAAGGAAAACTAAAAAAACAATAAATCCTCCATTGATATATATATATATATATATATATATATATATATATATATATATATATATATATATTTTGTATAAAACGAGAAAAGAGAAAGGAAAAAGTGACTTGGGCAGGGAAATATTTTTATTGTATAATTATAAGTGTATAGGACGATTATATACAATTTGAATTTGTATAAAATGAGAAAGAGAGAAAGACAAAAGAGACTTGGGTAGGAAATATACAATTGAATCGAATTGTATAAAACGAGAAAGAGAGAAATTATATACAATTTGAATTTGTATAAAACGAGAAAGAAAGAAAGACAAAAGAAACTGGGCATGGGACTATTTTTATTATATAATTATAAGTGTATAGGACGAACATATATGTATTTGCATATTTATATACAATTTTCTCTCACTTTATACAAACAGAAACACAAATTATACATTTCGTTTTGTTTGTATAAACGAGAGAGACGAAGGTGGCGAGCGATATTAGGGAGAGTGGCGAGCGAGATCTGGGAGAGGGAAGAGAGGGGAACGAAAATATATGTATTTATACAATTTCCTCTCGCTTTATACAAGCACAAACACATTTTATACATTTATTTTTGTATAAAAAGCGAGAGAGGCGAGCGAGACTACCACCAAATGAGAGTGGCGAGCGAGATTCCACCAAGGAGAGTGGCGAAAATAGCTATAATTTGCTATAGGGTATAATTAAATCAAAGTATATTTATAGCATTTAATTTGAATTAATAATTTGCTATTCTATACAATTTTCCCATGATACATTGCTATAGTTTAAAATATAACCTAACATATTTATAACCTAAATCGATAGAGAAAAATCGCTCCCTGTATTTCTTGATTTGTTTCCCAATCTGAAGACATCTCAGCTACTAAAATTGAAAAGATAAAGAAATTGTGAATTTTGCTTTATTAAAACAAAGAACATGTAATTTTTGTTGCATATTAATTTGTATTAAAATAATTAAAATCCAAAATATTAGTTTTATTTCTTTTCCTATTGACAATACAATAAAGTAATTATATTATGTATAGTCACATACAATTTTGTAATGACCAAATTGATATAGTATGGATAAATAGATATAATTTTGAAAGTATTATCTAAATTATTCTGTTTAATTATTACAAAATTTCTAAAACATTTCTTTATTATAAATTGAGGTCTTATTTGAACTTGATATATAAATAGATAAAAATAGCAGGAAATAACATCTTTTTAGCTTGTATATTTGTGGAATTCAATCTCATTTAGAAATAATAATAAATAAACGTTGTCTTGAATTTACTATTGATATACAAAGATAAAATTTTGAAAAGAAGTTGATACAATAGATACAAATATCGATTTATTCGAATTATATATGATATATGTATGTGTGTGTATATATATGTGTTTGTGTGTTTTTTATAATTTCAAATCTAAGTATTGTACTCATAATTCACATTTTTAATTTTTATACATCATACATATCTATAGTACATAGATATATTTGTGTTTTATACTCTTTTTATATCAATGTGTATCGATTTTATAGAGTACATGTATCAATTTTTAGTATCATACATATATCAGAAATACATGTACATGTGTGTTTTTGTGTTTTGTTGATAGTTCATACATATGAGACATGTAAATGTGTGTTTTTGTGTTTTGTTGATAATTCATACATGTGTATCTATATATCTTTCAGTTTGAAAGCTAATATTATATGTATTTGCGTGCAAGATTGAGAAAAAGAGTCAAACAATTTTGAAATACATATAGGAGAGATATACAAATACGAATTGTATCATTATACATGCTATATAAGGTTATTTCTTGCATTTCTCATCTCTTTTTCAGTCTCACTCTTATTTAATTCTTTCAAACTATAACTATTGCTACGAAATTACTATAATATGATATTTCACAATGATACAAACTATAACTATTTATGAAAAAAATCTCAACTATTTTTTTTATGTGAAACGGATTTGTAAAATCTTAGCAAGTTTATGCAGATCTTATTGGAGATAATACAGAATTAAAGGAATAATTATATATGTTGATTAGTTAGTTAGTTAGGAGTTAGTTAATTTGTTAATGAGTTAGTTGGGTTAGTTTGAGTTAGTCAATACATTCCACATGTATATATAGTACCATACTTCATCTTTGTAAGTCAGTTTTCATATATACAAAATCAGAAATTTCCCAAACTGATTTCTCTCTTCTACTCTGTTCATATTTGTTCATGGTATCAGAGCATTTGAATCTGAGATTCAGATTCACAATTTTTCGATCTTGAGTCTTACTATCAGAGTTTAAGTCATCATCACAGGTTGAAGAAGATGGTGGAAACAACATCAGAAGGAAGTGTAGCTGGGGTTTCAGCTGATACTATTGATGGAATTGAAAAAAATCGAAATCACCCCCTGTATCTTCATCCATCTGATACTCCAGGTAGTGTATTGACTTCTGTTCAACTCACAGGAACTGAGAACTACTCACTGTGGAGCAGATCTTTGATGATTAATCTTAGGGCAAAAAGTAAGCTCGGCTTCGTTCTAGGAATATGTCGAAAAACAGATTATAATTCAGCATTGGAGGAGCAGTGGGAGAAGTGTAATGCATTTGTGTTAGCATGGATCATGAACACAGTATCCAAGGAGCTATTGAGTGGAATTGTATATGCATCAGACGCAGCTATGGTCTGGGCAGATCTGAATGAAAGATTCAACAAAGTTGACGGATCTAGAAGTTATCAACTCCATCGCGAAATCTGCACACTTAATCAAGGTAATATGACAGTTTCAGGGTATTTCACAAAATTACGCCTCTTATGGGATGAATTTGATGCGTTGGTTCCTCCACCTACTTGTAACTGTGATAAATCTAGGACGTATGTTGATCACTTACAGTTCCTACGATTGTTTGCGTTTTTGATGGGATTAAGTGAGGTATACAGTCATGCTCGTAGTCAAATTTTAATGATGAATCCCATGCCTAGTGTAAGTAAAGCTTATGCCATGATAGTAGCTGATGAAAGCCAACGAGTAACAACAGGATCTAGAATTGGTGGTGATCTAAATGAATCAATGGTTTTGTATGCTAACAGAGGACGAGGAACTCATAATCTGAATGAATCATTGTATAATGATAGACGAAATAATCAGTTTTCGAATGATCCAATGGCTATGTACACTGGGAAAGGTGGATACACAAATAATGGATTTGGAAGTAATAGTGGAAATAATGGTGGATATCCCAGGCAGAGAAAAAATTGGCATCTCTTTTGTGATTATTGCAAGTTACATGGACACACTAAGGATATATGTTTTAAGCTCATTGGATATCCAGCTGATTGGAAGTTCAAGAAAAAACTTGGATCAGGAGGATCAACAGGTGCAGGAAATAATGGGAGAGACATTGTTAATCATGCTTATGTTGACAATCCTAGAGATGCATTTGGATTTATGGATCATAGTTCAACATGTCCATGCCAAGGTTCAATTAACAAACCACCATCAACCAGTACTTCTGGAGGAAATAATGATCATATTGACAAGGAGGAGCAGCATGTAGCAAAACCTCCTATGGCCAATACTGCTAGTGCTCATATGGCAGGTATCTCTACTGATGTTTTTCCAACAACAAATAGTAGTAACTTGCCAATTGCTAATGTAGAATGGATAGTGGATTCTGGTGCGACTTGCCATATGACTCACAGTGTTAAGAGTTTAATAGAACTATCACAATCTAGTGCATGTACAAATAAGAAAGTGCACCTTCCAAATGGT